TTTTCATAAAGTTTCAAGGAACTGGTCTTCACATGCCCCACTTGAATTACATACTGTTTACTTGAAAATATCATTTATTGCACTGCATGCAGTGATAAATTGAAAAGTAGTGCATGATTTGAAGCATTTTTTTTTATTTAGCATTGACAGCCACGGGTATGAATTTTTAATGTAGACAAAATAAATAAATTTGTGTTAAATAAAAGGATAAATGATAAATTCAACTATCACTGCCTTTTTGATTAAGCTCCGTTAACATTTATTTTACAGTTACAAAGTGTCTATTCATAAATGAATTAAAATGTTGCCCAAAGTAAAAGTAAACATGCTGTACATAAATGAGTGTGGGTGGGTGGTTTGCAAAGCAAGAGGGAAAATGAAACCCAATTACTGTTGTAGTTACCTATAGCTAAGGGCCTGAGCACATCCTAGGGTGAATCTGAATGAATCTGTTACCCGAGACCACAAGATGTTTAATGCATCAATGTACAGTATCTGTTTCCAGATACATTGAGCAGTATGGTATTGTATCTGTATGGTACCATATCTTACAATGTCTGTTACAATAAAGGAAAATTGTGTCCTGATTATACTGTATATGCTCAATGTTAAACAGTTACCATAGCAGACATTAATTTCAGTGGGTTTATTTATGCAGAGAAATTGTGTACTTTTAAATGGTCTCGTTTGTAAAATACAGCATTCCAATCTATCACTTTGCTTACAGGATGTTGTTGTTTCCCTTGAGCTTGCGGTGTAAAAACATGCTGGAGGCTAATGTTAGCACACGGAAGTCTCCATCAGAACCTTTTCTGCAGAGAACAAACTCTAAAGCAAGATGTATCAGATGAGTCTGTGCTTATGCTTGTAGGCTGGGAATGGAGCACGATGGGCAAGGAAACCGCTGTGGAGATGAAACAGCCATGGGAAGTGTGATGGCACCTTTGGTGCAAGCTGCATTTCATCGATACCACTGGTCAATGTGCAGTGGTCAAGAACTAAAAAGATACATTCAGTAAGTTCTTCTTTTGATATATGTGTTATAATGTATTGTAATATAAATAACTCTCCCACCCAGTGAGATGCACATTTTAAACATTAAGAGACATTTGATACACAGTGCCCTCAATGCAATTCAGAAGTTCAGAAGTTGTGAGTACTGTACTGTACTCACCTTTATGGTAAAGGGAAACCGTAAAATTCAGTCCTGTGCATTCAAGGGTGAATGTGAAAAGTCAACCTTCCTTGTCCTTGAGCTCTAAAAATATCTTTTAGTATAAATACTGAGAGGCATTAAAAACACAACAGTCATCTACACTGAATCCAGCAGCATTATCCGAATTCCTCTCAGTGTTAAAAGAATTTCAGACACAATTTTCCTGCAAAGAGGTATCATCAAAAAGATCATCATTTTCCTGTTTATTGTTTGTGACTGACTGGAAGTGGCTTAAATGTTTTCATGTGATTTTAACCATGAGAAAAATGTAATTAATTGCACAATTTTCAATAGACACAATAACAACTAAGTAACAATAATTAACAAAGTGGTTTCTGGAATTGTTTTTAAGTCATTCCAATTCCATAGTTTTCAAAAGGATAACATAAAATGGGCCACTATCAACTTGTTGAACCATAACTAAATATATCTATACATGACTCTAAAAAACATTTTGTGACCTTCTTCTTATTTTACCTCATTTGAAAATTTGGCTTTAGGGTCTCTTAAAGAACTAAAGGTTCGTAACCAGTAAGATACTGTACATGTATCCAAGCATAAGACATACACCATTAAACACTGTATTCATCAACTATGATGATGTGTCTTAAAGCATAAGATGCACATTAACACGAATGCCTTAAAAATAGGATAATAGTGTCATTAGCATCTCCTGAATATGTCATGTATGCATGGTAATGTAATGTAGTCCTGTGGGGCAGGTCATGTTTCTGTGTTTAATTGGGAGGGTGAGTTTTAGAGGCTAGGCTTAAGCGTAGAGAAAAATGAGTCAAAGAAAAACTCATTTATGAAGCCTGACCTGTGCAGACAAGGCTGCCTCTTGAACTATCTTACCCATCTTTATTGATGATGTAACAGAATTTTCAAAAACCTTGTGTCAGCTTATATAGAAGATGTGAAACATCTTAGACAGCTCCAGCTTTTCCATTTAATCCAATAAATGGAATAAAGCAAGAAAGCATGCATGTTTAAAAGCTGAAAAAAAATCAGGGCACTCTGTTATATTGTAATCATTATTCATATTGATCTCATGATCAACAATGCAAATTGCTTGATTGTAAAGGAAATAAAGCAGTTTCAACTTTGCTGTTCCAATAATTTTGGAGAGCACTGTAGCTCTTGCGACCTGGAAGGATCTCTGCCATTGACGTGAAGTAGAACAAGGAGAAAGCAACAAAACAAAACTGAATTGAATGCTTTTAAACAGCCAGAGCATGCGTACATATCCAAGTTTAGATTTTCTCTTAAAAGCATAAGTGACATGTTCTTGTTTAATTCATGTGTGAAGGTAATATTTAAATAAGCATTTTTACTAAATTAAACAAATCTTTTACTATGCACTGACAGTGTTTCACATCATTTTTTCTTCAAGCCTAGGATTCTGTTTTTTTTTGTTCATTTTTTTTTTCTACATAGGCAAAATGTTTTACATTTTAAGAGAATGGGCATATAAAATAACCAATAAATTATATTGTGTGGAAGTTAAGGACTTAGATGCATACTACATAATTTGTAGTATTTTGTAAACATTTATAAAATACTACAGATGCATAAATGACAAACTGCTGTCAAGTCCTAGCTTCTGTGCAATCTTAACTTCAAATAAATTTGAACATAAAAAAGTCTTTCACCTACAAAATGTCCTACACACTAACTGTGGTTAAAGGTACTTTTACACAAAGACAGACATCACACATTCAGAATCATATTCATTACTTGATGCATATATCACCAAACACTTCAGGACATTTTATGTAAATAAATTGCATAATTCCCCTCCAGTGTCAATTTGTCTGAATACATATTCATTGACAGAAGTGTGTATTCTGCAGTATTCTATATTACTATACTGCAGTGAATTTGCCAATGACTTTGTTATTTTTTGAATCAATTTACTGTGCCAGCTACACATAATTGTTGCCGTCTTTAGGAAAATGGTCAGGCTCTGGTGTTAGTTGTAGTGAAAATTTGGGTTTTGAAAATAGTGAGCTTTGGTTATACTGTATTGTCCACTTTTCCCCTACTTTATCACAGTGCAAATATTGATATTAATATTAGATAATTACTGACAAATTGGTGCATTATACAGTATCATCACCTTAGGCTTTATTAATATCAGCTTTATTAACTTAAGAATATTTACACTCATTTATGTTATAACCTTTTTTTAACTGATATGGAAAATTAAATAAAATATTGAGAATTATCTAGATGTATTTTTTCCCAATACTGTTAGCTCACTTTTAAAATAAATGAGGATAATAGTCAGCTAAGCTTGGAATGATAGCGTGAAATCTTCTAACATGAAAGAATATCGCCTCCTGTGATCTTCTCTTTCAGTTATAATTATAGTATCCATTATAGTATACTGTAAGTGTGATTATATTAGAATAAGAAAATGTTCCTTGATTGAAGTTTCCCTGTGTTCCTATGATTCCTGTAGCTCCTATGATTGTCTTTTGGATGACCCCTTCAACCATGATTGGCCTACACTCCCTGAACTGCCTGGAATTAACTATTCAATGGATGAGCAATGCCGTTTTGACTTTGGAGTTGGATACAAAATATGTACATCTGTAAGTACAAATCTGTGATTTGTTAAAATCGTTCAGTAATCCAAAATATTCAGTTGTTTTTTTATGACATGAGTATTAAGTTTCTTATGAAAGCAGCTTAAACTTTAACTGTTAATTAACAAAAACCCTAAAGTATTTCATTACTGCCATATTAATAATACGACATTAATAAGTACTATAACAGTAGAATATTGAGGATTTTTTGCCAACCTACAACCTCCAACCTACAAGCATGTTTTTTTAAAATTTGCATGCACGTTATTAGGTTTCATTCCCTGTAAATTACAGTGTAGAATAAATATAACCAAGAACCTGGGGGCATTAAAACTAAGACTCTGATTGATGTAGCTGTAATTTTACAGAGCTAATTATATTCATGTTCTAGAAAAGGCATACTATGTAATTTTGACATTTTCAGAGGTCCTCAAACCAGTTGGCCCAAATAATAACCTTTTCTTTCCAACTCTGCATTTTTATTATAGTAATCATAAGAAGCTTTAAAGCCAGTAATATTAATCACAGAAAAAAGTGAATAGCCAAGATGTTAATGAAAATAGCAAATGATTATTTGCAAAGATTCTAGTCCGTGCAGTTTGTTATAATAACAAAACATACAAAACATATTTACACCACTCAAACCTTCTCCAGGTAGAATGTTTGCAAGGGCAGATTTATGCAGACATAAAACACCACTGAATTGGCAGCACAGTTGCAGTATTTTGGAGATGGAGAAATAAGCTGCATCTCACAAAGCAGCTGATGAGGAGCAGGATGGAAGACAATTTGGGATTGAATATGTATTCTTGATGAAGAATAAATGAGGGTGCATTTTTCTGAATAGATGCAGAACTCCAGCATTTTTCACCGATTGTTGCATTAACAAACAATGGGTATATTGAGTATTTATGACAGTTTAAGTTTTTACACTTTGTGCTCTTTAGTCTATTTACCAGTGACCTAAAAATGTTGGATTGCACAGTTAGTTCATATAGCAAAATACTCAAAATGCTTAGCTTAATGGATTCCTACGTGTTTGCACTCTCTCTGTTAGAGCTGGTAATTATCGTATTTCATATAAAATTATACACTACTACTACTATATGATTTTATGTACTAGTAATTGATGTTACATTTACTTTATTCTTACAAATTGTCTATATATACGGTAGGTATGTGGTCTGAATTGGGCTTTAAAGTATTTTTTGTTTAACATCTGACAAAGCTTCTGTAAAAAGCTACAGTAATACAGCCGTTTAATGGCAGAAGTTACTATCCCTGTTGTTTGTACAGTGGAAAAGTTACTGATGAAGGTTTTATTGTGAAAGTTTGCATGTGTCTTCTTTGTAAATATATGAGACCTATCAAAGTGTTAAATATTTAGAAATGTATAGCTTAAAAAAACAGCTGTATATTGTCAACTGAAAATGTGTAGAAAGTGCATTTTGCACTTTATCAAGTACAGTACCAATTCAATGGTATGCCTGGACAAACCAAAATGAGCATAAAATTAACTTCTAATGCATTCTATATAGGTACAATTTCAAGAACATTAAATGTGTATACAGTATAGGTTTTTAAGGTAGCTGAGCAAAAAAAGATTCATATTCACATTATTTTATTTTTTCCCCAAACATAGTACTACTATAGAAAATATACAAAACATGAGTTTGTTCGAACATTTGTAAATTTATGTTGTTTTATCTATACAAAACACATATTACACATTTTGTATTGTTCTATTCTTTCCACTCTGGTTTTCCATTTTCTGTGCAGAAGCAAATCTATGGTGATCTTTTAAAATGTCACCTGTTTTGTTCAAGACAACACTCAACCCTTTATATAGATCTTAATGCAAAAAGTAGCATTTAACCTTATTGAAGTGTGAAGAGGAAGATATTTTGGTGATGATGTGCATAATCTTACAAAGAGTCAATTAAGATTGATTAGTTAAGATGATTAGGTAATATAACACTTCATATTGCATGCTCATGTATATAGTAGGTTGGCCTTGTTCTTGTGATCATGTTTTTGCAGATTCTTCAAAAAAGAAGTAATAGAATCCCCTTTGCACTTGCATAATACTAGCTCTTAATTAATGCTTCTCTTACTGTTTTCTGTGGTTGTATTGTTGTTTAGGATTAAGGTATCTGCCAGATGAATAAATGTAAGTGTAATGTGCTGGAGACAGTTAAGGTTTTGAGTAAATAGTTGACAGTAATGATACACATAAAGTGATTGTGTGCCATGATAATGATTGTGCACAAAATGTTTATGTAAAGACATTAAAACAGCATTTTATTTTCTTGGATTTAAACAACCATAAAAGGAAGAAGGGGTAATTTTTAAAAACCTTCGCTTGTACAGCAAGTAGAGTTATCAATATTTTATGTAATGTATTTCCGCTTTCGATATGTGTTGTTTATTTTGTTATTAGTGTGGTTTTTAGTTAAACCTTTGTTAAAAGTGAATTTTTATGTTAGCATACATTAGTAGTGTTACTATGCTACCTACTGTAGTGTAAAAGCAATCGGGTGTGTGCAGGAGAAAGATGTTTCAGTGAAAGAGCTGGAGAAAAAAGGGTGCCTCTACAGTACATGTGATACTATTGTTCATCATGTAGATCTTTCTTGACTTTTTTTTCTTGTATTTTCTCTAATATTCTTGCATATGCTCCATCTTTTTGGTGTTTATCTTGAAACCTTTTCCTTCGGTGTCCAGGCAACAGCTAACCTGTGACAGTTGTATTTTTTTAAGGGTCACCTTGTTTCTATTTCAGTTCAGAACATTTGATCCTTGCAAGCAGCTCTGGTGCAGTCACCCTGACAATCCTTACTTCTGCAAAACTAAGAAAGGACCCCCACTGGATGGAACAGAATGTGCCCCAGGGAAAGTATGTTTTGCCTTTTCTTTTTTTTCTAAGCAATTGATTTGATTTATCTGCACCGTTTCCCGTGCTGACTGTGTCCTGTTTGGTTGTCAGTGGTGCTACAAAGGCCACTGCATGTGGAAAAATGCCAACCAGGTGAGACAGGACGGAGCCTGGGGAGCCTGGACAAGATTTGGCTCATGTTCACGGTCGTGTGGTACAGGTGTTCGTTTCCGAACCCGGCAGTGCAATAACCCCACGTAAGTTGTGTATAAAATCCCCATCCTTGCTTATGTTCTATTGCTTGAAAAAGAAGACATGTGACAAAAATGCTGGGGAAAACACATTTCTAGAATTACCTTAGGGCTCAAATCTTAATATTTATCCATATAACATTTACCAGAACCCGTTAAGATCATGTAGGATTTTTCAGTAAATAAAACGTTAATTATTAGGAATTACAAGGTAGAATCATGCATCAAGATGTACAGCTTGTATTGACACCAACAATGCCCACTCACGCTACTGGTCTGTGACTTTCTCTGACTCTCTGTTGATCACCCTTGTGGATGAGAAATATTATGCAAAGTGAATTAATTTCATGTGATGTCTATTCAATAGATTGCCTACACCTGCTACAAAAACATTGGAGTGTCCTAATGAAGCTTATAGGAGCTTTATGGGGTAAAAGGATATGTGCTGAAAAGCCATTTGAAGGCCTCAAAAATATGAAATATTAGGTAAAATTCTAAAATGATAACAATGTAATCAATATTATAATTTTTTACCAACATACTAGACCATCTAATGGAGGCCTGGACTGTCCGGGAATTAACTATGAGCATCAGCTGTGTAACACCGATGACTGCCCGAAACATTTTGAAGATTTCAGAGCCCAACAGTGTCAGCAGCGCAATTCCCACTTTGAATTCCAGAATGCAAAGCACCACTGGCTGCCATATGAGCACCCTGACTGTAAGTGTACGGAGTCAATTTCTCCTTATTTTCTTAATTGTATTGTTCTTTAAATGCTTGAGTTCATGCAGTTTTTACATTATCTGTTGCTGAAATCTGTGAGCTATCTGTGAGCACAGCCGTGAAAAATATTAGTTGTATTGTGTGCAGTTGTAAGTGTGTAGGCAGAGACATTTTCTAGGAGTTAGTTTTTAAACTAAGCATCATTTTGTGAAATCATTTCACAGCCCAAGTGTTTTCTAAAGATGGCAGTGGAGATTCTTTTGCTCTTTAGGGGGTGTAAATTCTGTCCAGTATGTGTGTTCTCAGTAAAGAGCTGTCAGAGTATGTAGGAAGCTTACACAAAATAGCTTAATATGGGCTGTTACAGAAAAAAGTCAAATAGAGACATCTGTGACGGTCAGTTGAATCATGGTATATCAACTACTTTTTGCTAGAAAAGTCTGAAGACACAAAAAAAACTTAAAAGAAAGAAATATTTCAGTTTCAGTAACACACATACAGTGCCTTTTTTTCCAGAAATATAGAAATAACTTCACAACTTAAAGTCATGCCAGTCAAACCTTATCCATACCATATTCTTTGCAGTGTGGTGATGTTTTGTCTTACACTTTTAGCGGATTGATACAAATCATACAAGCAGATACTTTGACCTGTTGCCAACCTAGTTGGTAATTTACAAATGAAATGCATTAAGTGTAATTCGGTCATACCCTTCAATCTGCACAAGGGTAGCACACCCACCGATTTCAAGTGTTGTTGCTGTTAATATACAGATGCAGCCATTCAAAATGCGCGGTAAAAACCTGCGGTACAGTAACCTACCTGCAGGGCACCGGAGGGCACCGCGGTAAGTGATTGGCTGGCCAAAATGAC